GGAAAAGAAAAAAAGGAAAAAAGGAAAAGGAAATGAAAAGAAAAAGAAAAAAGAGAAAAAGAAAAAGAGAAGAAAAAGAAGAAAAAAGAAAAAAAAAGGAAAAGAAGAGGAAAAGAAAAAAAAAATCCACACAAAAAATGACCCCTTTACTCTGCCTGGAGGCAGAGGCAGGTCCTTTGGCACGATGTGTGGGTAGGGGTCGAGTCGCCTGGCGGAGGGGCTAGGTAAGTCGTCTCGGATCACAACTATACAAAAGAATTTAAAAGAAAGAAAAAAAAAATGTGGCCCCTTTACTCCGCCTAGTGGCAGAGGCCGGCCCTTTAGCGTGGTGTGTTGGGGCGGAGGTCGAATCGCCGGGCAGAGGGGGACTTATGTGTCCCAGATCACAGTTCTATAAGCAGTCTCTCTCAGTCCACTCTCAGTTCCCCATCATTTTGTGGACAGCACCAGCAACTGAGTGGAACAGGGCCGCCGGAGACCGCCTGGAAACTTGGCAGCAATATCGCTCTTTCTCTCTTTTCCGCTCTTTCGGAGGCGGGGCTTGAGTCTGCGGCTGCGACAGACTCCGCAGATTCGGGAGAAAAAGTGGCTGCACGCGCTACTCTCCTGGCAGGGCGCGACCAGCTCTGCTGCAGAGGCAGCGGCTATGACTCAGGCGGACGCCCGGGCAACAAGTCGCCACAGTCACAGGCTTTGGGGTCCCCGAATTGCAGCTGCCCACCCCCTGCTAGTCAGCGCTGAAGCCGACTGCACCCGGAGAGCATCCGGAGCCGGGGTCCACCGTTGCCTATTCCCAGAGCTGCGTCCCAGGGCCGCCTGCCGGCCCACTGCGCACCCTACCCACGGCAACTCTGGACCAATCCCGCGGGAGGACTCTGTGCTGTGTCCCTCCCAGCACCCGCGGAACTTTCAGCGATTTCTGTGGGGTAGAGCCTCTTTTATGGAGTTCCCCTCCCCCGATCTAGTCCTGGCAATCTCCTGTGGCAAGAAGCGGCCTCCAGCTCTCCCCTGTGGGCTTGGGTGGCCTCCGATCTGGGGAGTGCGCGCTCGGGCCGGTCCCTCCCCTCTGATGCCGACCCAGCGCCACGCTCCAGCGTGTTCGAAATGGACCCCGCTCCTGTCTCGGCTCCCCACCGCTTGTCGGTCTGTGCTACCACTTCGCACTGACCTCTGGCACTTCCCTGCCTGCGTGGGAGTGGGGTTTGGTGAAGGAAGAGTGATCTTCCTGTGAGTCAGATCGCACCGCCCGGGCGAGGCCGCCGCGGGGCGCGGCTGTCCCGCGCTGCCTTTCCCCTTTGTCCCAACTCTCCGGTAATTTGCGAGTGCTTTTTGAGTTCACCTGATTTTATCCGCGGGACGGCTTGTCCCTCGCTGCTTCTCTGTAGATTCACAAAGCTAATCCTGTAGGGGAGCACCTCACTCGCGTGTGGGTGTCCGTGTTCTTCACCTCCCACTCTGGGAGCAGAGAGCCAGGAGGTCACCCCTAATCCGCCATCTTCCTGACCCCCAATTTTAACTTTGATACTTCTTTAGTGATAAAAAGCAGTACATGCTTTAGAATGTTTGTACAGAAAGCTTTTTAAATACTGCACATCTACCACTTTTAAAAAAGAAATTTATTTCTGGGATCAGA